TCGCGAAATCACCAGCCCCGCCATTGTTGTCAGCCTTGCGAGCTTTGCCCTAGGGAAGAGAGTCCAGTAAGGATGTGAATGACCGATCTGGATCTCCATCCGTGTTGCCTATCCAAACAATGTGGACGCTCATTATTCGTATCATTTTTTTGTCCTCACAAATATATTTTTTGACCTTAAATAGAATTGTCTTTTCAAACAAAAGACGATCATTTAGGAGAACCAACCTGTGGGGTTAGGGTGGTTGTTCTTGTTCCTATCTAATTAAGGCATTTTTTCGATGAGAGAAGCGAGTGTCATGTGGTGACGTCACCAATCTTAAATCTCTGTTACTCTCGTATTTAGGTTGAATGTTTCATTTCATGGTAGACAATGTTTTTGTCGACAGTAGAGTTGTGTTCGTTGTACTCTTCTCTTTCTCTAATGGCGGTGTTTGTGTTACTCGGTGTTTCTAAACTTTTGGCGACAATTTAAGCTTCAAACTAGTGGCCTTTCGCCGCCCAAAAGTTGACCTAATTCCAGAGAAATTCTTGGACGCGGCTAACAGAATCTTTGACGTGAACCTAACAGGATCCGTTGGCGCGCGTCGAGTGCAACAACACGGGCACGCGTTGCGTTGTTCGACAAAAAGGAAAAGATAAGGGGCAGGCAGCGTCAACTCGTTTCCAAGCCGGAGGTCTCCTCAATCACACTGAGAAGGAGACATTTTAGGCGAAGCGATCGATCGAATGACCGCCGGCCGGCGCCGGAGCCATCGTGCATGCGTCTATCGTCCCAACCGGGGCCCCGCGCAGCAGTCAGCGTCAACCATCATCCATCATCGCCAACTTCGCACGACCATTGCCTTACAAGCAATGCAAAGGCAAAAGGAAATACTCTACAATAATTAATAAACCTCGAAAAGCATTCATGTTTTCTGGACACGATCGAATATATACATTGTGTCAATCGATCGTTGTATCTTGAGATGGACTGGCTAGCTACGTACGTACATACATACGCGTAGAGGCTGGCGCGACACCGACAGTTGGATCCTTCGCTTTCGCGTACGTACGGTGGAGGATCGATTAATGGATTAATAATCAAGCAGAGCAAATATAAGTTAGGTAGGTGGTGCAGGTGCTGGATGGATCGGTTACAAATGCATATATATCATACTCTAAATCGGTCATGAGAGGGACGATTAATCAATTTTGCGATCGAATTGATTGATTGATCGATTGATTGGTGAGAGCGAGCCGGGGATACGTCTGATGCATCAGGCTCAGCGAAGGTCATGGCAGTTAGGTGGCGCGATTTGGACGGTAGCACCTCACTCTGATTCCGACGGCTGCCGACGGCCGACGGCGACCCCCGCGCTAGAGCCCTCAGCTACTACTGTACACCCCCGTCTTTAACTATAGCTCCATCGATCGCCATTACAAAGTCTTTCGGTCCATGTTTCCAGATTACGATCGGTCCTTAATAACACATCTAGTATATATAATCCCATGCACCATGCATCTAAATATATAGAGGATAAATCCCCTCAGCTCATTATACTGTATACACTCCTTGTGCAAATGATGATATTTTCCATATTGCACTGGCGACGAATGTATAGTTTCTTTCTACCGTACGTACTCGGTCGCCTACCGGTGTACCGTATAGGTTTCCTTAGAAATTACTACTATTATACTGTATTGCTACATGGAGGGCATGTATGTATGCTTGCTGCTTGAACAGTTCCTTTAATTAGCTTGGTAGCAGCAAGCACGTATCTGAACAGTGTACGTACCAGCGTCCGCTTATAATCAATCAATGGGTGAGGTGACCTCCTGCAATACTGACCTGGCATCGTCCCTGAATCCGACGTGCCACTGGCATCGCACCTATCCTTTCCAGCTGGCGCAAGCTGACAACCCGTCGCCCTCGCCACGTCGGACGGAGCCCCTCCTACGGTGCTTGTTTAAGTCCCGTCTGCCGTTGGGACTCGCCAATCACGTACTGGTGGGAGTGAGCTCCACATAGCTGCCTGCTAAGCACAGCCTAGCTGGCCAGCTCTACTGATTGGTTGCCATATAAAATCGGCCTCGCCTTGGGCATGCAATGTTGCATGCACCCTGCGCTTTTGTTGGTGTTGCTTCTAAGATACTCCGATGTTGCATCATTTCGGTGGCAAGCATGGCAGGAGAGAATACCACATATAAGAGTTGAGTTGAGTAGGTGGGCATTAGGTGGTGGTGAAGGCATATCTGGGATCGCATGCTCGGCCGGAGAAAGAAATGGTTTGAAATATGCAGAGGGAGAAAAAGAGAGAAAGGAGTAAAGAAATGGAAAACATGGGATCACGATGGCTGCATGTGCACAACCATGACTCCGGAATAATTCTTGTCGAGCGAGCTAGTGACCAACTACTAATCTATTGCTTAGGTTGTGCGCGTATTATAAAGGAAAAAATTGAACAAGAGAATCTTCCACTCTTTAGGCTTCTTTAATCGCCTTGAAAAACAAAGCAAAAAATGTATATAAAATCAAAATAAAATCCTATTGTTAAGATATAAAATGAAGTCTTAATGTTTTAGTTAACTTTTAAATCGTATCTGCGAGCACTACTGGCACGTAGGCCCAGTGCAGCGTACAACTCGGATGGACCCCGCAGAGACAGTGACCTGCGACAATATTTTTCGTCGGTGAACATATGCTAGTCACGGAAACTGTCGGCCAAGGAGCCCACACATGATCTTGTAGCCTAGTGAAAAGGGAAAAACATACTATGATAACCATATAAACATTTATTTGAGGTGAAGCATATAAACATATTGCTGGGAACGGAATGGGAATGGGAATGGGGAAGTGGGAAAGGAAGAAAGGGAAAGGAGTGAGCTAGAGCTAGGAGAGGTAGCGTCGGTCGGGTCATGTGGGGGGCACAGGCACGGCAGGCCAGGAGTATATGCTACACAACATTTTTTTGTCTTTGCGGCACAGCTCACCAGGCGTTGCGTTGGTGACGCGCCGATGCCGATGTCTCCGGGCCGGAGGAGCGGAGCGTCGGCCACCGACACGGCGACCGCACCGCCTGCAGCCGGTGCGGAGAACCGCCGGTCACCGGTCTGTAATAAGATGGGTTAATGGTTATTATAGGAGCCGTTCTTCGAGGTGCCTCGGGATTACCACCGGAACAGAGATGTCAATGGTCCCGGTCAAACCGTCCCGGCCAGCTATGTTAGCGCAACAGTAGTAGTTTTCATTTTGTTTTGTTTTAGGTACAACAAAGCTTGAACACTGTACCAGTACGTGGCTCAGAGTATTTTTTTAGGCTCTCAGCAATGATCGGCTATATTCCTTTTTGACAGCAACAATCGAGTAAATAAAAGAGGTGGTAAATCTTTTTCCCACACCAAAGGTAGTAGTACTGGCAAAAGTTTGTTTTTCACACCAAATGGTTGTTGGAATGAGATAAACCTTCTGTCATCACCATTCCGAGGGTAAAAAAAAAAGATGTTCAATTGCTGACAAAGGTTGATGCTACCAGCATTCGCATGCAAGGGTTCGTCTGGATCATTAGAAGCCTCACATGAACCGGCACATTCCGTGTTTGAACTTGAACATGTTTTCCATCTTTTCCAAAATGGGGACTAAAACAGTCAATTTTTTTAAAAAATAATCAGCATTGAAGATAAAACCATGTGTTAAAAAGAGAGCAGTTATTTTGTTTGTAAAAGAAAAGCATGATAATTTTGCACAGCAGGGCATTTTTTTCCACCGATCCACTAGCACCATCCATGTGCCAAGAGTATTATTCCCGCCCAAAAGAAGTTCAGGCCGATCTGAATCTGGGAGCCAAGCCCAGCAACGTGTACACGTCCGCGGTTGGAGCGCATAATGCCGGGCACAAACCAAATATAAATGGCGTTCAAAATTCGTTGAGTCACATGCATTATGCGCAGGCAGATCCAACCATCTCATCTCACCTGCTGTGCTGGTGTGGTGGTGTGGAGACGATGATGATCATGGCCAAGTGAGCTGAGAGCCTCTTCCTCCCTTTGCTTCCAGGACAGTGCGCGGATGCGTCCCATGTGACATGTTCTTCAGTTCCATCCTGAATCCTGATCACCTTCCCCCCTTTCCCTCCTCCCAAACCCCACCCCACCCACCCAACAGCACAATCTCTGCCCCATCTCCCTCCCTCAACGGAATCAGCTGCAGGCTCTACTGCACAAACAACACATATCATCAGCAGCAATGCTCCAACAACCATACGGTTCCGATGGGAAAAAAGGCGTCCGTTACGTAACGTACCTGGTTGGTGTCAAGAACATCATAAAGATTAAAGAGGCCACTACACCAGCTAGTGATAGTACTGCCACCCTCTCTGTTGACATGCATCAGTCCCAGGGTGCACCTCCTTTTTCCCCAGGATTCCAAGTATTTGTCTTGCAGCATGAGAAAACTCAAGTGTCAGGTTGAAAAATTTGCGGAACAGATGCACGGTGCGCCGAGGTGTCTAAATCATACCTTTAAACTCCATCAGAAGCAGAGACATACATATTTGAACCGACCAGCACAACCATTGCATTCTGAATCTGTGATTCTTTCTTGGCAGAATCTTAACATTTTCAGCTAAAGAAGGGCAATAGAGAGTCGCTTAACTGAACAACCTCTGCCTGTGCCTGAAAAACAAGGAACTCATGCATATGAGATATGACATTGGCAGCAATGGAGAAGCATGGAGGCTGTACGTTTTTGTTTTGCTCCCCAGACAACTTGTCAGGAGTTCTGGTTCAGTTCATCTGAAGCAACAATGCCTGGGCAAGTGGACATCCTTAATGCCATTTTGAAACAAATACACTGTAGCTGTTATTATGATATACAATGTACCCTCCACTATACAACAGCTGCTATACACCAGAAGGGCCGTGGCCGGGGTGTATCTGTACTGCTGCAGTATCTATTTATCATCCCTGTGGTATCTACATAATCACAATTTGCGTGATCTGATGACTCTGAAACTATACAGCTTAGCTCTTGGGCACTAGCTTCATCATGAACTCGTATCGCACTGATTGATCTATCTTGGGTGCTGGCCACTTGGCGTCTTCTGGTACACGGATGGTTTTGTAACCTTGGCTTTTGTACAGTCGCAGCGCGGCGAGGTTACTTACATCGCAGTGCAAGGCCACTGACCGGCATCCCCAGCTCCTTGCTCGCGCCTCGGCTTCCGCGACGAGCATTTTAGCAATTCCTTTTCGACGCTCCTCCTTCCGAACCGCGACGTTTGCTATGTATGCAATTCCTGTTCTGCATAAATTTGGAAGGAACTAGGATGAATTTTAAGGGGGAGAAACTACTTGTATGTACATAGCTAGAAAAAAAATCTGATGTGCAATAAGGGCATGTATTCAGCATCTCGTACGGAGTGATGTGCGTGAGAAGGCTTTTAACAGTTTACCACTTCATGCATAGTACGTATGCATTGTATTCAACCAAATAACGGTATGACCTACATGTTACATGCCAACAGTTCCATTTGGATTACAACAATGATCAGACAGAAAGTTTCCTTGTGGACGGGGTATTTTGGAATGAGGAGGCTCAACTAATTCTGTCAGACACTCAGATCTCTGAAGAGGTGCCATGTCCTCGAACTTCCTTTCCTGAAGCAAAGGTCCCCCCTCCCCTATTATTTCACATTTATCCAACTTTATGCAGGAAAGGAGCCTATATTTGCCATCAGTAGCTATAAAGTAGAACCTATTAGGAAATTGACATTGCAACGAAACCTAACCATAAAGTAAACCTAGATACTAGATAGAACGGGAAAAAAGGGAAGTATGATGTAGTAGTATCTAAGCATGGTACTGTTTAACAAGGATTGGCAAGGTTGAATGGACTTCCAACAAGATAAAAAGCTGCACTAGAAACAAATGAAGCTTGTGCTATATTTCTATTCTAAAGAACAAGCAAGAGGTTTGCATATCATTTTAAATTAAGCAGGAAGCTCTTCCTAAATTTTTGTCATACTTCTGTTTGAGTCATGCATGAATGTTTATTTTTCTAAACATATTAGTTTCTATGAAAAAGATCAAAGTCAATAATGCACAAACTTTTACTCTACCTCTTGTCTTAATCCAGCTGAAATTCAAAATCTAACACTGTTCACATACAATTTCTTGAATTAAGCAACAATGAACCTTAAATTCTTCAATTAAGCAACAATGACCCTCTAATGTGTTCAGCCATTAAGTTGGCTGGGCATTGCATTTTGTTTAAAAGGTGGGTTGAGTTCTGGCATCTCATACTTGTAACGGTGTTTTCATCTTGTACAAGTAAAACTAGGTAATAGTTATAGGTCCAAATTCTAGTCAAACCATGTTGTTTATTTGGGGTAATGAAAAGGGTCATCTGGAACTATGACATTCAACTTGGGAGTCTATGCCAATGCAGACTGGACTGCCAAGGCAGGAAAGCATGGTGCATGCAAAGTTGTGCTTGTCTAGCTCTAGATGACTATAAAATTTTTTGGTTCCAAGTCAAGCATCAAAAGAAAGATGAAGAAATTAAAAGAATGTTTTGGGGTCCCCAGATCCCACATTAATACATAACTATAAAGGAAGCGGAGCAGGTCATGTAGAAACATCGGGAAAGATAGAACATATTTTGTTTTCGACAAACTGAAGAGCAACATACAGTTCAGAAGGACATGAGCCATCAGAACTACACAAAAAGGTTGCACATTTAAAAAATTAGTACCATAGAGGAAATCGCAGAACACATCGTAGTCTGATGAGGTGTTTATCCTGCTAAAATATAATGACTAAATCGACTATGCAATTCTGGAACACATGGCACACCACATTCTAGGTAATTATGTCTGAGACTGCATTGTTCGTGATTAATCTATTCTATGGGTTGTGTAGGTTCACCAGATGGATTCCCAGAAAATCAAGACAGTGAGAGGGTGATGAACTTCTGTTTGCAAAGTCATGAAATTCACTAGCAAAATAGCAACATGGCCACACAAAGTTAGCCCAGTCTTGCTGTTAGCATGGCCGGGTCAGCTTTTTTTTAATCGCAAGGGACAGGCCATCTCCAAAGGTTGAGTTAAGGAGTTCTATACAAAAAAATATATCCTTGGTTTTGCGAGTCAGTTCTATAAACATTTCATGCTACATATCCTTACGGATGTTGGACTCTGCATCCCAAGTTGGATAAGAATCAGTAATGGCTTTATTTCTGCGTTATCATTGCAAAGGTGCCTTAAATGCCATAGTCAGGGTAATATTTTCCTCATCTCCAGTGGCAGTGGGTTACAGAAAATTGTTGCCCTGAGTCACTATTTTGAGCCAAGGAGATTTATATTTGTTTTAGAGTGAAAGGAAACCTGACATCCATTTGTTTCGAGCAAAACCCTGGAAAATGGTTCCCCAGGCTATTTCTGTTTTGAGGAAAAATAGTTCAAGTTTCAGTACTAGTCAACTACACATTGTTATCTCATATGCTTCTAATCATCTGCCACAATTAGCTAAGATAAAGTAGATTAGACCTTTGAATTTTGGTTTGGCTGATATTGCTCTACATGTAGTAAAGAACTACTAGATTTCATCTTCTGGTAAACCTGGTATTTGTTCAGGTATTTCCTCACATCTGCTATTAGCAATCAGGACAACCAATTTCTGTTTTTGCCATACGATGTTATTATTACCTTTGCTATAAAATTTAATTCTTGACTCAAACGTGTTATTGGTGTGACAGATCAAACATTTGAAATGCACAAATACAGAACATCAATGACTTGGGTAGAGGACTCAAGGATATCAAGCATATGGAACATCAATGTCAAGAAAACAAGGTCGGAGTAAATAGCAATGCATACAAGTAGAAATGATAAAATAAGTAGCCATGAAAGAGTAAGTGAAAGCATTGAAATCACAAGGAATAAACAAATGGCAATGATAATATGGGTCTATAGGAGCATTTATAGCTTACAGCTGCACCTCTTCGTCTAAAAAAGATTCAGTATCTACTAGAAGCTAGAGAAAAAACCTGCTTATTTGAACTCCAAGAAAATAATGATGTACCTTCTCTGCTTGAGACGTCCCCTTCTTGGAAGAAAGTCTGCTACTGTGTCGACCGTAAGAATGCCAGCTATAGAGCCTTTACTGAGACTGTATTTCCCATGAAATTCGGCGTCTCTCAAATCTCCACATTCGATACTGATAGCACTGTTAGCTGCAGAGGGGTTAACTGCAACAAGGCAACTTCTCGTGCAGCCTGGCGGAACTGAAAAGCCGGATAGGAGGGCGATGTAACGATCGAGCCGTAGAACAAGGTCTAATGGGAATTTGTAACCCGGAAAGAATGAGCTGCAGTGAGTATCTGCTACTTCCCAACAGTCCTCCAGCTTTGCGTCTCGAACGATGACGCCTGTCCCCGGGTACAAAGACGGCAACAATTCAACCGCTTGACTGGCATAGCATATTCCTGAAAATAAGCATGGAAGCCAAATATGTCAAAAGGAGACATAACTGGCACCATCTGTAGTGATGTTCACACACAAAAATGCATCTTACAAAGGTTAATCTGCGGCCACATCGTATGCGAACAATATATAACATACTAAATGGGCAAACTAGTAGATTGGATTCCTCGAATTAGGTTCAGTTTGCGGTGGAACAGGGGATTGGCGACGGCCACACGACAAAGCCAAATGCCCAATTTGGCCAACCTAGAACCCACCACTACTACTAATCTATAATACCCATTCTCGATTGTGAGACGCAAACACAGAATTATCCATGCCGAATGACGAGGTGTCGAATCGACTAGGCTCCGCATAACCCAGTGCCCCAACCATACAGAGGATTCCAATCGGAGGGGAAAGGTGGAGGGACCTGCGGCGGGTCTGGAGGGGATCGACGGGCGGTGGCGCTGGACGGCGGCCGATCGGCGGCCGGGGCAGAGAGGAGAAGGGGATACCGACGGCGACGAGGAGCGCGGTAAGCTTAGCAGCGCCGGCGGCATCATGGCCTCCTCCGACCTCCGCTCGTCTCCACCGATTTTTTTTTAATCTTCTGTTCGGCGCAAACCCACCTGTACAAGCCTTCACATTATACTCTACGCGTTGAGGTGCGGAATGCGGAAACAGTGAATACGTCTTAGCATTTTTTCTTCTTCTAGGAAACCTTTGCTTTCATTTTCGAGAAGGCTAAAAATCTCAGATTTTTAGTGGTCTCACACGGACGCATGCATTGCTGTTGGATCTGCCGCACCAATCTTGATGCACATAGACTTGCCACATCGGAATCGTTTGTTTCAAAGACCGACCAAAGCGAACGCTGCAACCCACAACTTCCTTTGTCCCTTGCCAATGAAACGGTCGCGCATTTTCCCCTTCCTCTCACTTTCTTTCTCCCCGGGATCCCCATTAACTCGATCCCGACCAATACACCAACGAGCTGCAGTGGCCAGTGTGTGATCGCGAGGACCACAACAACTTGGATGTGGCGGTGAGCTCAGAGGGCACCAAGGTGGTGCGGCGAGCAGCTTCGTGGCGACTTCGAGCCCGACGAGGACGAAAAGGTGGCCGCCATGAGGCTCCATGGTCCAAAAGCTGAGTAGGCAACACAAAAAGCGCCACTCATCCAGGGCCAGCGATAGAAAGAGCCTGGCTAGGCAACCCCCTTTCGGATTCAAACGAGACCAGCTGGTGAAAGCACCTAGCTCACAGTGTCCCGCCAGCCCATGACCCAGAGATAATCACTCGGGGCCACACCCGGCAACTAGCACGATGTCCGACCTTACCCGACGCATGTGAACCAAACAACCTGCACATAGGGGGAGAGCCAGGGTGTCAGACGAGCCAGCCTCAGGAATGTCACCATCCCATGCGTCATGAACCCCTGGAAAAAGGTGCGGGACGGTGTAGTAGTATGACGGATGCAGCCGCGCTGGCCAAGGTGACGGTGTCCCGGACTAGAGGGCGCTAATCAGATCATCCCCTTTTGTGGTGTGCTAGGCCGAGGACCCCTGGATCATCAGCAAATGCCCGAAGACTGCCACGCCCTCTGGCATGATTAAGATGGAATCCTCCGAAGACTTGGCGCACACTCCAAGACCTGTTTGAATCTTCGGCATGCTTATCCCTAGATGTAACCGGCCTCATGTAAACCTTAGGTACTAATGGCCCCTATATAAGCTGAGTTTTTTTAGTTTAGAGATTCATATTCATAGACATACGATCTCGAGCTAGATCATCCTGTAATTTGCACCCCAACACAACCAATACAATAGAAGCATGGCATAGGGATTTACCTATTCAAGAGGCTCTGAATCCTGGGTAAATATCGTGTCCCTTGTTCATCCTGTTACCACCAAGCTAAGATCACTAGTTCAGGACTCCCTACCAAAGATCTTTCGGATTTAACCCCGACACAAGGCACCTGCAATTGCATGACCGATATCTGCAGATTTGTACACTTTACCGGACGAGGCACTGGGAGAGAAAGCCTCCTTTCTCTTCCTCTGTTTGCGGTGGCGAGCCGCTATGTTGACCTTGCGAGTGGCCACCACTGATGAGTCCTCCGCCTCTGGAAACATCTTCGTCGCCTCTTCCTCCGGCTCCATCGCAACGGTGGACGACGAAACGGGTGGGAATTGGGATGGGTGGCGGCAGTGATCGGAGCAAAGACAACATGGAGAGGGAGGACTTTCATGTGGAAAGATTGTAGAATTGTCCAAATGTGTGGGCTCCACGTCGGTTTTGGCTAGGTCCCGGGTGTCGGGCGCCTACGTGGCGGTTGTTTGGATTCCCACAAACTTTCCCAACTTTGCTTATAGTTTCCGGGAATTCAGACATGTAGACAAGTCCACAGACGTTTGATGCATGGTGTTTGAGGACATAAACGGTCCGAACCATGCAGTCTCTACGTTTATAGGCGGTTCGAGAATACTCATTTGAGCCCAGGCTCATCTGCGCCCGAGCATGAACATAATAAATTTTTAAAAATTAGAAATATTCAGAAAAAATGATTTTTTTGTCAACCAAGACACTCAAATACGTGATGTCCGGGCAAATTTAATCGTGTTTGGACATATGAGGAGCTCGTGGCAAAAAATAAATAAACAAAATCGGCCATGAATAGTAAACTTGCTCACCCCTCCCCCTTTTTTGTCGAGACCTACTCAAATGTCCAAACATCACCAAATTTGACACGGACATCATGCACTCAAACATCTTCCATACCAAAAAAAAAAATCATATTTTTTGAATTGACTGTTCATTCTCGGAAGAAGATGAGTACGAGAGCCGAATTGCTGCTTAGAGATGCCCTTAGTAACATAGGTGATAGTACCAGGTGTTCTTTACCTTCATCTTTACTTGCAGAATTAAATTCTCTGATCATTCAAGCGCCATTGTAGAACTTGATAACATTTTGGAGAGAGTTCATGCGCTTGCACTGAAAACTTAATCACGCTTGCATCATGCTGCTTAGAACATTAGTAATTAATTATCGGTATTATTGACTGCGGGTACTGATATTTACATCCAGTTACATATGTCGTTACTTTTGTAACCCGTACAATACACATCGTTTGGTGCATATTTTGGTTTGCCGCACAGGCTTCAAGAAGCCAATGCACTAGTATTGTAGACAAGAAGAGCACCGCCCAGCAGAATTCCAGCAAGAGTCACTGCCCAGAGAAACAGCCCTGTCTTTCCTGTATATATAAGTCATCAAGAAAATAGAAGGTCAAATTTATTGAATTTGGGATACAGTAAACATTTTATGACACGCTTAAAGAAACGTCACCTCCAACATAAACGTCACCACTTGGAGACCATTCTTCTGGTGTATATATCGGGCTGCAACGTAGTAAGAACCGAATAAGATGCCATGAGAGCTGAACTCCATGGACGATCTCTGAATTTTGTAGATATTTGTTTTTACTGACAGAAACTGCAGGTTTGGGTTTGCGTGTTTTTACCTGTACCCATCAACGTTTGCTCCATACTTGTCGGCAAACTGGTAAACACCCTTCCCCTGGTTAAATTGGAAAATTAGTAAGCTACGCACAGTAGTGCCCGTATAGAAAACACAAAAAAATGATAGAAATTACATCTAGATCGATAGACTAACCTTGGCTACCCTTCCGGACGCATCAACGCCTTCCTTGAACACCACTCCACCACCAGGCCCTACATGTCGACACACACAAATTCATGCGAAGGTGAAAAATATGCTTGTATATATAGTTCTCAACTCTGAGGCCTCCTTTGGTTCATAGGATAGGAACTTTATAGGAATAGGAAAATCATAAGAAGTGAGATGACATGCATCTTAATTTCTATAGAGAAAGAGATGCCATTTGATGCATAGGATAGGAATTTTTCCATTGAGTATAGGCTAATGTTTTTTTTCCTCCAAAATATGAAGGATTGATTCCTATCCTACGTGGGAATATAAATTCATTCCTACAAACAAAAGGGCTTTAAATGAATTTTTCCTTTACAAATCCTATCCTATAGAATTCCTATAAAATTCCTACAAACCAAAGAAGGCCTGAATATTACGGCGTGTATATACCCACCATAGGGCTGGGCAGTCTGGACCTTTTTCGCCTTCTTGCTGGCTACTATGAGCAGCGATGGCCTCGCCGATGGTCGCGCGCCTCGAAGCTTCGCTCGTTCTAACAGTGGAGAGGGAGATGGTTTCAGAACCAAAGACGCCATGACAGAGGCAGACATGTTAAACGCTTGCTCACTGGCTCACTCTCTTTCAGTTCAATTTAGTTTCTCTCACGGGTAATGCATGGGTTTAAATACAGGGAGTCTGTGGAGTGGCTGACAGTGAGTGACAAGGATTTGATGGTCTATTTTAGGTTGGAAGGTTGCTATAATGGCGTGTCATGGGTCCATGATCACGTGAACAACCCTCGTCTCTTGCTTGGCTGATCAGAAACGCCGCACTTATGCAATCTGGAATGGATAAGTACCGAGGGTTTTACCTTCCTTTTATTTTTTCCATGGTTGAGAAATTTCATCAGGTGTCCCTCACAGACAGGTCAACTTTGGGAGTAGTGCTTCAGATGATCTTATCTTTAACAGTAACATCAGAATATGACAATGCTTTTTTTAATAAGGAAAGAATATGGCAATGCTATTTGTAAGCAAAGTGCTTTGTAGAAAAAAAATTAGGGAGCCTCAATTGGACAAGCGACTGAAATTTTTGAACCGGCCAGTCACTTTTTTTTATTTCTTTGCATAAACAAAAATATAAACTAAAAAATACAAACTATAGCAAAAAAAACAGATTTTCTTTTACATAGAATGAATTAAGGGCATTGATATTATTACCTAAAAGAAGAAAAATAAAAAACTTAAAACAAACAATGACAAAAAAATTGCGCATAGATTGCATAGAAATTACAGTATTTTAGAATATAAAAAGAATAAACATATAATAGCGTAATTCTCAACAATAGTATGACTTGCACACCTGTTGCATAAAACATTCGAGGAGCTCGTAGAAAAAAAACGAGGTCTTCGAATGTCTTATCATGAGGAAAAAATTTGGACACACCTAGCGCACTCGAGTATCTTGTATGCTAAAAAAGTCAGATTTTTTTGAAGTTTTTTTTTCATTTTTCTTGATTTTATTGTTTTTTTTAGGGATTCTTGATTTTATTGTTCATAGGGAGCAGATCAGCCTAAGCTTATCTGTGGATTACCGTATTGGCACTGAATATATTGTGGATGGGCTCCTAGCCCAGTGGTCAACGAGCGGTTGTGTGACCTGGTCGATACCGAAATCACTAATTAAGGAGTACTCGTTGCAAAGAATACTCCACTTTCCTAGGTCGCGACAAGTGGCGCACATATAGCGCGCCACTTGTCGCAGCATGGAGTTTTTCCTTTTTTCGTAGATCCGTTTATTCAAAATGTTTTATCTCTTAAACCGTGCGTCCAAATCTCAAACCATTTTCACCATTGGATTCCTCGCGTCGAGATCTTCAAAACTAGATCC